CTTGACTTTAGACGGATCCAGCTCGATCCATTGACGACTGACGATGAATCCCAATAATTTTCCTGCGGGAACCCCGAATGCACACTTTGCGGGATTCAGTTTCAAATTGTACCTTCTTAGCCTGTCAAAGAACTTTCTTAGGTCTTCTATGTGATCTACGGCCCTCTTAGATTTGATAATGGCGCCGTCCACATACAACTCTATTTCCTTGTGTATCATATCATGGAAGATAGTTGTCATGGCTCTCATGTAAGTAGCCCCAGCATTCTTCAAACCAAATGGCATCATCTTGTAATAGTATACACCCCAAGGCGTAATAAAAGTTGTCTTCTCTACATCTTCTTCGTCCATCCAGATCTGGTGATAGCTCGCAAAGCAATCTACAAAAGATTTGAGTTCATGCTTGGCGCAATTATCGATCAGGATATGTATATTTGGCAGGGGGAAGTCGTCCTTAGGACTTGCTCTATTTAAATCCTGATAGTCAACACATACTCTGACCTTCCCATCCTTCTTTAGAACTGGAACAATGTTAGCTAACTAGGTTGGGTATTAAACCACCTTGAGAACTTTGGCTTTGATCTACTTGGTAACTTCCTCCTTAATTTTCAGGCTCATGTCTGGTTTGAACTTCCTGAGTTTTCTGCTTTACTGGCAGACACGTGGGATTAGTGGGCAGCTTGCGAGCCACTATGGACGTGCTCAAACCGGTCATGCCATCATATGACCATGTGAAAATATCCTCATACTCTTTTAGGAAGCGAATGTACTTTTCCTTATCTGTTGGTGACAAGTGAATGCTGATGCGAGTCTCCTTAAGGGTCTCAGCGTCTCCTAAATTTACTGCTTCGATCTTGTCCAGATTGGACTTAGGCTTATTCTTAAGGTTTTCAACCTCTCTGACAATTTCCTCGGGTATCTCATCTTCTTCATCTGAATCACTATTCTCATATTGTGTTGCCTCATTACATGTCACAGTCACTGGTTCATTAGGAAAAGTAATAATAACATTGTAGAAAGGAAAAGTGTAAAGATAGTAGTGAATAATAAAGAGTAAATGCATTTGATTAAAATTGAAAAATCATCCAGAAAAACTACGGCTCGATGAATCGAACATTTATTTTGAAACAAGTAAATCTTAAAACAAAATTACTGGAAATCTTTAATGCCTAGAATGGCTATAGAAGTAAAATCTTCCAAGCTACCCAGGGACTCGGTGGGCTCGGGATGGTGTAGCGGTCCAATTCCTGAGAATAGCTCCCTTCTTTACGGTCTGAATAGTGAGGCTTTATTCCTCCTCCTCCTCAATTATGGCACTTCAGTCCATGTTCTCATCCTCCAAGAACAAATTCTTCAACCCATCTAGTGCTTCCTCTTCTGCAGTTCCCCATATCGTATTATCTTGGTGAAAAGCTTGTTCCAAACATGGCACTGGTTTCTCGAGAGGGTAGTACGGTCCATGCCATGGGTACTGGTATCCAAGCCCAAAAGTGGTACCATGATTTTTCAGTTGTATCGGTTTAGTGATACCTTGAAGGTTTTTTCCCAATCCTTTGTCGGGTTCATATCCAAACCAAGCCAATATACTTTATATTTTACCACTCCACCATTTATCCTTCTCGACGACGTTGACCCGTTCAATGTGATTATAGGTTTCCCCTCCTAGCCTTATTATATTTCCAATGGCCGGGATGGTTTGACTTGCGTAAATGGGGTTACTCCTGTCTCCGTGAATGATCACCTCCTGAAGATTCCATTCGAATTTCACGGCTTGATGTAGTGTGGAAGGTACGACTCTAGCGGCAAGGATCCATGGTCGGTCCAACAGAAGATTCTATGAATGTCAAGCACCTGAAACTCGACGTCGAACCAAGTTGGCCCCATCTGCAAGCAAAGGTTTATTTCCCCGATCGTGGCCCTTTAGGACCCATTGAAAGCCTTCAAGTTCATGCTTCCTACCCTTATTTCATGAAAACCTTTGTCCAACCTTTTCAGAGTGTCCAATGGACAAATATTTAGGCTTGAACCTCTGTCAACCAGGACCCTGGCAATGAACTTGTCTTCAAATTGCACCGTAATATATAATGCCCCATTGTGATTCAATCCCTCAAGTGGTAGCTCATCTTTGTGGAAGATGATCTTATGATTTTCCAATACTTTCCCCCGCCATGTTGGCTATTTCTCCGTTGGTGATATTATTGGGTACATAAGCCTCGCTCAGCACTTTCATTAAAGCGTTCTTATGTGCCTCTGAATTTTGCAACAGTGACAGGATAGATATCTGAGTTGGGGTTTTGTTCAGATGGTCAATGATAGAATACTCCTTTGCCTGTACTTTCCTCCACAGGTCATCTAGCCTTGTCTCAATGACGGGCTTCTTGGTAGTGGTATCCTTGTTTGATCCTCCTAAGTGTTCAGGTGTATAGACTCTTCCAGTCCTAGTCATTCCTTATGCAGTATCAGATTCTTCTAACTTGACCTTCCCTTTTCGCCGAGCCTCGGCAACGTAATCCCAAGGTATTGCTTTTGAGTTGAATGGAGGTGTGGTTGATAGTGTCACAGTGAAAGGTTTGACCAGTTCTACCTCAAATAGAGCGGGGATGGCCACAGGCGGAGCCACCTCTACCTCAAATGGAACTGATGCAGTTATCTCAACCTCGATTAGTGACTGAGTCTGTACCATAATAGGAGTAAGTGTGACTGCAACTTTAAAGTCCTCGCCTTCTTGAATAAGCCCAATTGACCCCTCAAGGTCCCACTCTTTGTTCGTCTCTATCACATGTACCCCACCTCCTCTATGATCAGGGAGGGGATTGTCGCAGACATTAGGTGCGGCCTCCTTTGCCTGTATAACCTTGTTGTCATTTAGCGTCTGGATCTTATCCTTCAATGTTCGGCACTCAGCAGAGGTGTGCCCCTTCATACCGGAATGGTAAGCACAATTTTTGTTTGGATTGACCCATTGGGATGGGTTTTGTAATGCCACAGCGTGAACATGAGTGATGTAACCCACGGCTTTCAACCTTTCATACAACTGGTCAATGGGCTCAGTAATGGCGGTGTATTATCTGGGTGGTTTGCAGTCGAAGTTGGGTTTTGTTCTTGGAAAGTTTCGGCGAGTGGGAGGTGACTGGAAATGGGATGGTTGGGAGCTATAGGTGTGATGGACAGCGGCTGGTTAGGAATATCTCGGGGATGAGGGTTGATATGTGGGTAGTGGTGCTTGGTATGTGGTTGGAGGTGTTTGATATGTGAGTGGAGGTGTTTGATATGTGGATGGAGGTGTTTGACAGGTAATTGGAGATGTTGGGCCCTAGGCCACCATTACTGCCCTAACATCTCTCTTCTTCGATATGCCATCTGATTGTAATGCCTTATTTGTGGCCTGTAGTGCCTCAAAATTCGTTACCATCCCGCTCTTGATTCCTTCTTCGATTCTTTCTCCAAGTTTGATGATATCAGAGAATTTATGATTTTCAATAACCATCAACCTTTCATAAGATTGCGGATCCTGTGCTCTGACGAAGAATTTGTTCATTTGTTCCTCGTCCAAAGATGGCCTGGCCTTGGCCGCTTCGGACCTCCAACGAGTAGCATACTCATGGAAAGTCTCAGTAGGTTTCTTCTTCAGATTATAGATATAGAAAACATTCGGTGCATTCTCTGTATTGAACCCGAATCGGTCCATGAAATTTGACACCATACTTACCCAATTAGACCATTTCTTGGGATCTTGGTATATGTACCAGGACAAAGCATCCCCAGTAAGACTCCCCATAAAGAGTTTCATTTGGATCTTTTTGTCTTTCCCGACCCCGACAAGTTTGTCGCAATAGGTCCTTAGATGGACTCTATGATCACCTGTGCCGTCAAACATCTCAAACTTGGGAGGTTTGTATCCCTCCGATAGTTCTACATCTGGCTAGATGCATAGGTTTTCATAGTTCAACCCTTTTATTCCTTTGTCGCCTTCGACACCTTGAACTCGGCTTGTCAACTTCTTGAGTTCTTCAGCCAGCTTTTTAATGAGCAGGTCCTTTTCGGAGGATTGTGATGTATAGGAGATGGGTTGGATGGAGTGAGGTACAGTTTCTACGTATATAGGGTTGCTTTGATGGGTGCTAGGGACTTGGCTGTAATGATGGTCATTGGTGGAGTTTTGGGGATCGACAATGGGTTGTGGTGTGTTTTGGGGAGTGTGGTAAGTGGTGGTTAGTGGGTACTGAATTGGTTGATGGTGATGTTGTGGTGGAGTTGGTATTGGCAATGGATTGAGATTTTGGGGTGGAGTTGCATATTGATTTGGCGCGGGAGGATTTTGTGGATGTTGATTTTGTGTGTTTTGGGGAGGTGCTAGGTTCTTTGTGTTATGTTGGTGGATGTCGGGGACATTTAAGGTGAGTGACTATGAGCACATGATTTTTGCCCTATGTGAATTTCTCCCATAAATTCAAGAAATAAATTTTCCCATTATTTGAAAATTTTGTAGATTTTTATAGGATTTTTGTTAATTATTTGCATTTGTCCGTGCATGTTTATTTCATTTAAATCATGGAAAAACACAAAAAATACCATGTATTTGCATTTAGGATTTATTTTCACATTTTAAGGTAAATTAGTAAATTAGGTGCTTTATTAAAAAATAAAAATCACAAAATGGCTCACTTTTGCATTCTAGCCTTTAATTTTAAATTTGTAGTTCTTCTTTTAATTTAGGAGATAATTAATTTTTGTAAATATTATGGTGAGTAATTAGCTTAAGTTTTTAATTTAAGAATTAATTTAGGTTTTAATTATTTTAAAAGGGAAAAGGAAAAAACAATTGAAATTTGGGAAAATGAAAGGCAATTAAAAGAATGGGGCTGTTGTAATGGCCCAAAGTGCAAGCCCAATCCTTTTATCGTCTTGCTAGTTCGCCCAACCCGCCTGGCTGACCCGACCCGTCCCACTTATAACACAAAAATACCCAGAACCCTAAGTCCCAAACTCAGAGAAACGCGCACAGTTCACTCTTTTCTTCACTTCAGAGCCGCGTCCAAACTCGCCAAATTTCAGGCGAGTGAGCTCAAATTCACCCCACGCACCCCCCATCTCTCCACGTCACCTAATATTCTAACGGCCTCTGACAGATTTTCGTCTCTCATGTGCTTTCTTGAGAATGAATTCCGAAAAATGGGGACCGTGGATTCATTTTGAATCGATCCCCTCTCTCCATCTGTCTGGATTCGTTCTAGAGAGGAATATTTTCGGATTTTGAGGAAGCTTCTAGGTTTGGGTATAAAAGGGGTGCTCTGAACAGATTGAGGGGGGGGGATTTTTGGAGAGATTTTTCAAAGAGGTTTTTTTCGGAGGAGGGAGAGTTTTTCAGAGGATTTTTCAGAAATTAGGGAGGAACGTTTTTTCAGAAACTTGAGAAGTTTCAAGAGGGTCTTCATCTGAACTTCTGATTTGTTTAATTTCATTTCTTTAAATTTCAGAATCAAAAAATAAAAATATATATAGTTCAGTCTTCTTCAGTTTATTTTTTCGAAATTTTGGTTTTCAACATGGAAATTGATTGAGCCGGAAATCAAGTTCGACATTCAAGTTCGGTTGCTGATTTGTTTCCTGTTCGTCAGCTGTTGTTGCTTCAAGTATCCATTGCTGGATTTAGCTGAGTTTAAGTGAATAATTTCACAAATTTCAGGTTCATTTCTTGGCTCTTTCTTAGTTGTTCTTGATGACTGGTTGAAAATGCAATGAGCTGTGGTTTTTGTGGTTCTGATTGTATTCAATGTGTCGATTTTCAAGAAGGATTGAATGTAAACTTTAAACACTGAGTCGTCCGTTCGGAATATGGCGTTCATGTATTTGTGTTGAAATGCGAATCCTCTAGTTCATGGTTGTATATCCGTTATTTGGTTGCGGTATTTGTTATGGTTTTGCTCTTACTGGTGTTAGTTTCTAAATGGTTTATGTAAAGAGATAAATGTTTTGAACCATCGACTCTGTTCATCAGATTCTTTCATGAAGTTCTTTGGTTTTTGACATGGATTTCAAGTAAATTGAGGGCTCGTTTGGTCTCTGTTGGTCTAACCTTCAAATTGCATATGCTAAATGAAAATCTTGACCCTTTTAAATTCATTTACTCTTAATTTAAGCCTGGATCCTTTTGAATCATGTTATCAGTATTTTAATGTTTGCGAGTCGAGGCTGGATTGAATAGCTAAATCCATTTGGAGTTGTCTTTACTGATTCCCATTGGTTCTCAAATGAGAAATCTGCTTGAAGTGTTAGGATAATTTTGACCATGTTCGCGCCAAATCAGATTTTATGTGCGCTAGTTTGAAATTCATGAATCAGGCTTCTAATTGACCTTAAGTGTTCATGATTATAAAATTCCTGCTAGGCATATCTATTTGTGCTGCATTTCATGTGCTTGATTGATAAAGAGAAGTAAACTAAGCCACAGTCTCTCATTTCATTTCCTTTAGAAAATGCTTTCATTAAACTGTGTCCATAAGAATAGCAAGTGTTATGGAGCTGGAGCTAAAATATGCATGATTGAATTGCTTGATTGAAATTCTGGTTTCTTTTAAGTTATAAAGAACTTATTTCTTTTAGAACACATACTGGAGGTATGATTTAGAGTATTGAGATGTGCTATTAGCTTGAAGGATAGTTGAGTGTTGAAGGTGGAAATTGAGAACACGTCCGTTATCTGAAGGGGTCAACAATTGAGTTAGTAAAATTCATAGCCCCATCATACTTTGATCCACCTTTATTTTGGTTGCTTTTGTTTGTTCAGTTATTATACTTTTTGTTCCTCATTGATTAGGGGGGTTCTGTGCGAAAATCATATGTTCAACCTATTCCATATGTTTGATGGGATACCTGTTGACATTAACTAGTTTTAGTCATCATGTATTTAGTGCTTTTGTAGGTCTATTTATTTGTCTATTCTGATCGTTTGAATGGCTAGAGCGTTTGTTGGATGGAACACTCCTTTCTATTTCTCTCCATTGGTTGATCCTTTTGATCACTGTTTTATGCATTTTTGTGAAACGGGCCCTGGGAGTTGGTCATCAAGTTTGAAAGGTTGAGTCTGTTTAAATCGCTAGCAGTTGAGTAGGCGAACCTTCAAGCGCATTTAAAATAATATTGTGATTATGTATACGTTTGCGTAACATAATTATGATTCTAAAATAAAATCGTAGTATGCGTTCGCACAACTTCGAACAAACTTTCTTAATAATAAAATGGGTTTTCATAGGCTATTATTTAATTTAGGATTGCATAGTTTGAGGTGTGTCATCCACACTTTAATCATATATGGCCCTCGTATTAATTTCATAATCTAGATATAAAATGACAAATGTTCGTAGTTTGCTTTAGGCTCGTTTAATGTACTATCGTGGTTGTGGACACGTTCGCGTGACATCATTACGATTTCTAACAAACAAAATCGGAGTATGCATTCGCATAACTTCGGCCGAACTTTCTTAATAACAATAAAGCGTTACTAATTGTGGACACGTTCGTGTGACATGATTTCTGACATACCAAACAAATGGGTACACGTACGCGTGACCCATTTCAAGATAATTTCTCAATAAAAAGGGGTAAATGTACATAGGTTCTAAAAGTAAGTAATTAGATAATTTAACAAGCCAAGTATGATCAATGCGACCGTGCTAGAACTACGAGACTCGGGAATGCCTAACACCTTCTCTCGGGTTAACAGAATTCCTTACCCAGATTTCTGTGTTCGCAGACATTAATACAGAGTCAAATCTCCTCGATTCGGGATTTTAAACCGGTGACTTGGGACACCATGAATTATCCCAAGTGGCGACTCTAATTTTTAAATAAATAATCCCGTTTCGATTGTCACTTAAATTGGAAAAACTCCCTTATACTCCCTTCCGGAGTGATAAAAAGGAGGTGTGACAGCTTTGGCGACTCTGTTGGGGATTGAACCCAGAATCTCTGGTTCAGGGTTCAAGAATTCGAGCTTGTTAATATGATTTTTCTTGGCTTTGTTTATTGTTGATATTACTGTATTTTGTGAACCTTTTGTGCTAATTGCTGCCTATTTACCGCTTTGATATTGTTTGAATTGTATATAACTGTCTTCTTACGCCACCCCTCTAAGTCTTCTGAAAATGGTGCTCACGTTTGCGTGGCCCACTTTTTCTGTAGAAATTATACCAAATAGAACAAGGTTGGGCAAGCGACAAGGCCGGGTAGACTTTAGTGCTCCCGGTACGTCGCCCCCTCTTCGGCCCCAGTTGTCCGCTCGGGTGTCCCAAGTCTAGAACAAAACCACAGGATTTAAACCTAGAAAAACACAGCTTCATGCCGGATCTCTAGTAGGAATGCTTGTTTGCATCACGTGCATTTGACTTAGGGGCCTCAACACATGAGTTGGGTCCGTCTAGGATAGGTGTGCCCAAAATAAACAGACCATCCTGATGCATTCTATGTGCTATGTGAACATTTATTTGTTTCGGCTTACGTGCTGACCAGCTAGGAAAATAAAGCAAAAGAAAAAACAAGAGTGATGTAAGGAAGGAAATAAAGCCCGATTCTAAAAAACAAAAACCTCAGTATTTGAAAACATCCCGAAACTCAGCCAAAATTTCTTTTTTTCAAAAAAGAAAAAAGAAAGAGAGTTATTTCAAAAGAGTCAAACACTGTGTCCTTTTCAAATGTGTCAAAGCTGACCGAACTATGCAGGTCTGATTCTCACCGGATGTGGGATACGTAGGCAAACCACATAAGGTTCGGCCTCATTTTTACAAATAATAAATAAAGGGTGTTTCAGGGCTTTGGTCAAAATAATAAGCCGACCCAGCTTCGGTTGTATTTTAAGATCGTTTCTTACAGGAATAGCCTTAGATTACATTTCAATTGTCGAAAGGCTATTTTTGGGAGAGACAGGCAAGTCTATTTAAAAGGTGTCTTTTTCAACTAAATACTTACCCCCTAGCCTTAAAATTTGTTTGGAATTGTGAAGGGGCCACGTTTACAAAAACGATCATTTTTTGCTAAAGTAGCAATGAAAGGGGTCTTTTTCCGTTGATTTTCTTTAGAAAACTTGTTTTTCAAAAGAGTCCACAAGAGTCAACTCTAACCTCAACCCTCCGCAGGTACAAATGAATACTGTCCAGGAATCATCGCAATCTATCATAGAACGGTCTCGGTTGCAGCTTCGCAGGTGGTGGGATGATTTAGATGAAGATGGCCGAGGTTGGGTGAAAGAACAATTGGGCTCCCTGATAGACATCATGTACATCAAACCCCGGGAGGATTTAATCGAAGCCTTGGTAGCCTTTTGGGACCCCGTCCACAATGTGTTCTATTTCTCAGATTTTGAGCTCAACTCCACTTTGGAAGAAATATCCGGGTATATTGATTTTGGCCAAGAGTTAAGAAAGCAGCAACTCATATTCCCCAGGGCTCCCTCGGTGCACAAGTTCTTCGATCTTCTGAATATCAGCAAACAAATGAACAAGGCCTACGTGAGTAAAGGGTGTTGTTCTTTCTGTTTCTTGTATTACAGGTTCGGGCACTCAGCTGGGTTTGAAACACATGAAAAGGGGTTGAATAACAGACAAGACAAGAGCATATGGCAAATCCATCATCGATTTACTTTCATCGTGGCATTTCTAGGGGTCATGATCTTTCTGAATGCGGAGGGCACTATAGACGTTCGTATGGCCAGAATCGCACAGGTCCTCATCGACAAAAAAGATCACACACTTGTCCCATTAGTGCTGGCAGACATTTACTGGGCATTAACCTTGTGCAAATCTGGGGCTCAATTTTTCGAAGGTTGTCAAGTTCTTCATCAAATGTGGATGATCGAACACCTTTGTTGTCATCCTAAGTTCATGAGATATGCTTCGGACAGGAACAATTTCATCAAAAAGTATGAGGAAAGGGTGGAAGACTACAAACCGCCCGAAGGGTTTGAAGCTTGGGTTTCCTATTTGAGAAAATTGAGAGCAAATCAAATTGAATGGACCATAGGATGGCTCCCAGAAACAAAAGTCATATACATGACCGCTTCAAAGGGCTACTTTATGATGATGGGAGTGAGAAGTATACAACCATATGCACCACAAAGTGTTCTGAGATAACTAGGAAGATATCAGGTGATACCCGAAGAGGCAGATCTAAGCACCCAAGTCATTGAATTAAACCCAGAAGCAACGCTACCCGAGGCTTTAGTTCAAAGGGAATGGAATGGCTGTCAGTATCTAAAAAGTGACACCCAGGTACCAGACCCATCTAAGGGCGAAGTTGATCCCAATTATGCTACTTGGTTTGAAAGAAGCTTTTATGTGAACAAGAGCCGAAGCCCGAACCCGAGAGGCCCGCTAAAAGGCCTTATGTTCAAGCCTTTGATGACAAAATTCAGGAAAGATTAGCTTGGGGGGAAAGGAAAAGAAATATCAAGCCAGCATTCACGTTTTGCGAGAAGAGTTGAGAAATGTCACCTTCAACAATGATCTACAGGCGCAAGAGGCCGAGGGTGAGAGGAAAAGGTTAGTTCAAGAAAATGAAGCTCTCAGAGCCCAGGTTCGACAGCTGAGAATAGCAGCCGAGAATCCAAGCAGAAGCAGGAAAGAAGAAAGGCTCATTTACAACCTTACCCAAAATGTGCGTGACTGTGAAGATGACCTACAGAAAGCCGAGTCTGAACTAGCCAAAGTACGAACAAAGTTGGCTAAAAATGCAGAGTGGTGTGAAGCTTTCGTTCAATAGATGAAATAAAGATATGAAAGAGGGGTCACAGGTTGGGAAAAGGAGATTAGCAACCTTGAAAGTAATATGGCTAAACAAGCCAAGAGTTTCAAAGCCGAGAGAGAACATTGCTATGCTTTGATGGCACAGTTAGAGGGAGACCTACAACACTTGCAAGAGCAAAATCATACCGCAACCCAGATATTAGAGGCTAGATCCCAGCACATTGGGCATTTGTTGCAAGAAAAGGGCATCATAAGGGAAAGGGTCAGAAGGATCGCCGACTACATCACGATGAAATGCAGTGAGTGCGAGGACATGACTAGTTCCATGTTTTTCGCCATTGTAATGACCTTTGTCCACTAGATAATAGAGGATCTCTACCATCTCTAAGGGGATTTGGCGCGTAGCCCCGAGGCGAGACCGACTGATGTCCCCCAGGCCCCAGGGGCAGTTGAGGCATTGATGTATTCATGATTTTTACTTGAGTCTATATTTTCTTTTTGTTGGAGTCTGTTAGTCTATTTTCGAGTCTGTATTTTTATCTTTCGGTTGGAGTCTATTAGTTTCCCTTTTCGAGTCTATTAGTTTTTATGATTAAATTTGGTATGATGAGTCGTTGTAATCAAAACGTTTTATTTTGTGAAAATTTGAAAATCCCAAAATGTTTTTTTTATCTTATTTATTTTTACACTTATTCCCCCATAATTACGCTTGGTCTGATTCATGCGCGGTCATGATACTTAGGCAATCTCTATAGGATTCGATCATAACCAAAAAGAAAAAAAAAGAAAAAAAAGGGAGAAAAAGAGGGGGAAAAAAAGAAAACAGGAAATTGTAGGAAGGAAACAATGGCAAAACAAGAGAGAAAATAAGGGAATAAAGAATAACGAGAAATCAAGCAAAGAAAGGAAGGAGTGGAAAAAGAGAATTTGAAATTAAGGAAAGCCGGGATGATGCAAGCAACCGATCAAATGCATAATAGAAATGGTTAACTGTTTAGGTGCATTGCATCCCCAATGTGCGATTGCCTATCTGTTAAGCTCTAATCACTAACAAGTTTGTTGTTGAAAAATAGTACAGGCAGGTGGTTAGTTTGTTTGGCATTCTGGCAATTCACTTGTACAATATCAGCTCCAAAAACAAGTTGATCATGGCTAACCAAGAACTAGATGCAAGTGTTATTGATCCGCCAAGAGAGGGGGAAGAGTCTGATGTTAATCTAAAAGAGGAAGTGTATAAGTTGAAACTACAGATGGCATAGATGTACCAGGCATGGGTGAAAGGGCATCCACCACCATCCTACCCCACCAACCCCGCTTTCGTCCCACCGTTGGCTCAATCCCAGGAACCTCCCACTATTGATTCATCTCCAAGCTTTCCCATTTACCACCACTACCGCGACACCACTTCCCAAACACCACAAGCTCCACCACCCAAACCAGTTCCATACCCTCATCCACCAGTCACCCCTATTTTTTTAGCACCTCCACCCGCTACACTCCACTGATCTTCCGGTGAGCCTTTATTCCAGACCCAAGATAACCAATACTATCCCCCCGGAGCCCACTTTCAAGGCCCCAGAACCTTACTCCTACACTCCTCGTTTCAACCTCCCTGCTGAAATTGAGAAACCACCTAAAAATCCAGAACAGGATGAGATGTTCAAGAACGTTAAAAGCTTGGAACAGTCATTGAGAAACATGTAGGGATTGGGAGGCCAGGTGAGCGTGGCCTACAAAGATCTGTGTCTATTTCCCGATGTTCAACTGCCAGTGGGATTTAAGATGCCCAAATTCGATCTATATGACGGGCAAGAAGAACTGGTGGCCCATTTGAGGGGATTTTGCAGTAAAATGAGAGGAGTCGGTGGGAAGGAAGAACTGTTGATGGCATACTTTAGCCTGAGTCTAAGCGGCACGGTGTTGGAGTGGTATACTCGTCAGGATCACAGCAGATGGTATACATGGGATGACTTGGCCCAAGCATTCACTTGTCATTTCCAATACAACCTTGAGATTGTTCTAGATCGTCTGTCTCTGACTAAGATTGAGAAGAAGCCTAGTGAAAGTTTCAGGGAGTATAGTTTTCGTTAGAGAGAACAAGCGGCAAGGGTTGAACCTCCGATGAAAGAGAGTGAAATGGTGGATTACTTTCTGCAGGCCCTAGAGCCCACTTACTACGGTCATCTGGTATCGTCCATAGGCAAGTCCTTCAATGAGGTAGTAAAGATGGGTGGCATGGTAGAAGAAGGGCTTAAGTCAAACAAAATCCTGAGTTACTCAGCTATTAAGGCAACTACCCAAGCTATTCAAAACGGTACTGGGGGAGTAATCGGAAAGAAGAAGAAAGAAGATGTGGTAACAATTGATTCAGGATCATGGTTTGGACTCAGGGGCCCGTCACACCATTATACTCGGTCTCAACCCCACCACCAAACCTACACCCAAACCCCATATAATCCACCCCAGCATTACTTCCCATCACCGGACCCTCATTTTTCTGTCCACCACTCCCAAACATACACTCAACCTCTTGCCTACACACAATGGCGTGCGCCAGCCCCACAAAACACTACCCAACTCCACAAAATGCTTACCAACCCTCACGAGCCTACCAAACCCCTGTCGGCCCAGGTTTCTGGACCAATCATGCTTTTAAAAATGAGAGGTTGCAGTGGAAGAAAACATTCACCCCGTTGGGAGAGTCCTATACTAGTTTGTTCTGCATATTGAGGCAATTGGATATGCTGAGGCCAATTGAGTCAAAATTGCCAAATCCTCCTCCAAAGAACCTTGATTACTCTATAAGCTATGAATATTGTTCCGGTACTCCAGGGCATGATACGGAGAAGTGCTCATTGATACAAACCAGATTGAAGTCCAAACTCCAGAGGCACCCAACATTAACCAGAACCCATTGCCAACACATCAGGAAACAAACATGATCGAGATAGTACATAAGGGAGGGGAGCCCAAGAAGCCTTCACAGACCATCATGATGATTCGGTCCAGTGAGGTCAAGCCAGTTAAAAACCCAACAGTTGAAGGGTCAGTGAACAAGGTGAGTAGGACAATCGGCGAACCATCTGTGGTAGCTAAGAAAAGAACCCTAAGTGATGTTGCAGCAAAACTAGAAAAGTCGAAAGTGGTTGTGCCAGGAGTGGAAAACAAGCCTGTCATAATTGTAGAGGGTGCCCGTACGGATCCTGTCATCATCAAGCCTGTAGCCCAGTTGCCAATAGTCAATAGCAAGGCTATCCCGTGGAACTATGAACGGGTGATAGTGACCTACAAGGGAAAGGAAGTGAAAAAAGAAGTCAATGAGGCCCATAGGTTAACTCGTTCGGGGAGATGCTTTGCCTCGGAAGAGTTAAGAAAAGCTAAAACCTCCAAAGATAACCTAGTTCTAGTGAAGAAAGCTATAACTAAAGAAGAGGTGGAGGAGTTTCTGAGAAAAATGAAGGTACGAGACTATTCCATCGTGAAACAGTTGAGAAAGACGCCTGCTCAGATTTCCCTGTTGTCATTGTTAATCCACTCAGACAAGCATCGTCGGGCCTTGATGAAAATTTTGAACGAGGCTCACATTCCCGACAAAATCTCAGTGAACCATCTGGAAAAAATCGCCAACAAGATATTTGAGGTGAACTGGGTCACTTTCTCTGATGATGAGTTGCCTGTGGAAGGTACTGAACACAATAGAGCTCTCTATCTTACGGTAAGATGTGAAGACTCTGTCGTTACCAAGGTATTGGTTGACAATGGTTCCAGTGCAAATATTTGCCCTCTCTATACTCTGAACAAGTTGAAAGTGGATGATGAGAGGATTCACAAGAACAGCATCTGCGTTCGGGGATTTGACGGCGGAGGGAAAGATTCAGTTGGTGATATAGTGCTTGAGTTGACAATAGGATCGGTGGAATTCACCATGGAGTTCCAGGTGCTGGACGTAGCTATCTCCTACAATCTACTATTAGGTCGACCTTGGATTCATGCCGCCAAAGCAGTCCCGTCCACTCTGCACCAGATGGTCAAGTTCGAATGGGATAGACAAGAGATCGTCGTGCATGGCGAGGATAATTTGTGCGCTTACGGTAATGCCATTGTCCCATTCATTGAGGTTGAAGATGACAAAGGGTCTTGGGTCTATCAGGTTTTTGAAACAGTGTCGATCGAGAAAATTCCAGAAGTGAAATGCGTTCCAATTCCAAACGTAACTGCCGTATCAGTCATGGTGGCCTTTGAAATGCTGAAAAATGGCTTCGTACCTAGTAAGGGTCTGGGTGCATCTCTGCAAGGTATCATACAGCCGGTATCTCTCCCTAAAAACTTGGGTACATTTGGTCTGGGATTCAAACCCACAGCTGCAGACATGAAAAGGGCTAGAAAGTTGAAATAGAGGGTGTGGGCACTTCCAAAGCCTATCCCACGTCTCTCCAGGTCATTTGTCAAGCCCGGCGCCAGAAAACGCTCAGTGACAGTAGTTCCCAGATCTATGGGTGACATTGATGAAGAGTTAATTGAAAGGTTCGAGAGGTTGTTCGATGATGTGAACATGGTGGAAGTTGGAGAAGGTTCTAGCAAAGCAGACGTGCAGTTCGTCGGGCCGAATGTAAAGTTTAACAATTGGAAGGCTACTCCTCTCCCTACCCAGAAGGAGTCTGGGTAGTTTGTTTTGTTTTCCTTTCTATCTAGGTCATTCTAGGGTTGTGACCCAGACTTTTATTTTCCGCTTGTTGATGTACAAACCATGTTATCCTTTATTTTCAATGAAATGCAATTTCCCTTTTTCATCATTCCTGATAGTTTTATTTTTCTTTTTCTTTTCTTCTCTGTACAGTTCTTTTTATATTGGTTTTAATGACATGACATGTATGAGGAATCTTCGGCCCAGTCTTAAAAGTCAATCTAATTCGAAAATAGTAATCTAGGAAATAGAGTGTGATGATGAATCAGAATATGATGAGGATGAGGCCTTTGAAGATATTAGTAAGGAACTAAGTCATTTTAAAGAAAAACACAAGCCTAACCTGAATGATACAAAAGCAATCAATCTAGGGGACCTAGATAATGTCAAAGGAACTAAGATAAGTGTCCATCTTGAACCACAAATCAGGAAAGAGATAATCAAAGCATTGTTTGAATACAAAGATATTTTTGTATGGTCATATGACGACATGCCGGGTCTAAGCACTGACTTGGTGGTTCACAAATTGCCCACTGACTCGGCATTCCCTACAGTCAAGCAGAAGTTGAGAAATTTCAAAACCGACATGAGTGTGAAGATTAAAGAAGAGATCACAAAGCATTTTGATGCAAAGGTCATTCGAGTCACGCGGTATCCTACTTGGTTAGCCAATGTTATACCTGTGCCAAAGAAGGATGGCAAGACCAGAGTGTGTGTTGATTACCGTGATCTCAACAAGACAAGTCCAAAAGACAACTTCCCACTGCCAAATATCCACATTTTGATTGATAATTGTGCCAAGAATGAGATTGGGTCTTTTGTAGATTTCTATGCGGGTTATCATCAGATCTTAATGGATGAGGAAGATGCGGAAAAGACAGCATTCATCACGCCATGGGGAACATATTGT